TGTTGTACAAACAGAGCAAACATAACACACAATCAACAATCAACACAGCAAAAGTAAAGTAAACAACATTCAATCATCTAATAATATTTAATGAAAAAAAAATCACATCACAGTGAAAATAAACATTGAAACATTGAACGAATGAACTGAATGAATTCATTTGTCACAGCAGATTCAAATTGTGAAACGATAAAATTGTTGATTTTATTTCTTTTAATTTTGATTTTCATTAGTTTTTCTGTGCATCCAAAAGTGAAATTGATACATAGACAAAACATCATAGACAAACATCAATACATCAAACAGACAAACAGGCAATGCACACACGTAATATTTTTTTTTCTTCTCGACAATGTTTATGGCCTGTTAATGGTCGATGATTATCAAACATTTAAAATGATCATCATGATCATCATCATCAAGTGAAATAAGTGTTTATGGCAAACAAATTGTCTGTCGATGTCAGTTTGTGTGTGATTCGAATGGCCAAATATCATTTTATTTTATTATACAAAAAACTGACTAACTAAGGAATTAAATATTCTTTTTTTCTTCCTTTACTATTACTTTAAACTATCTAAAAATACACACAGGTTACTATGTAATGAAATTGAATTAGATTTGATCATTTTGGATTCATTGAATGAAAAAACATTATTGATGGAAATTTCTGATATTTATATGCGGGAATTATAAAACGGACCAGAAACAAATCAAACGTGACGAGCATATTTTTCTTCTTGTTTTCGATTCATTTTCTGATCAGAAAAAAAAAGATTATTCAATCTTTCTTAGCAAAATGACAACAACATTATCATCATTAATCATCAATTAGAAATGAACAACAGAAATTGGGAAATTTCTTTCCGAACGTTTAAAGAAAGAAGCTTAATTTCTATCTTGGGAACCAAAAAAAAAAAAACCTTCGGATCATAATAATCATCCAAAGAAAGTAAAAAACAACCGATCAATAAATAGGAGGTGGTTATGGCTACCAATGTTTTTTTTGGGGGGGATTCTCTGGTTTTTAAAACTAAAAATCTTTATCTTAATTCATTTCATAAGTGGTAATAGTAGTTAACAAATTGTTGAAACTAATTCATCATTAAATTATGATGATGATGATGATGATGATGATGATAATGATAATGATTACCGAATCTTGAAGGAGGCAGCAATTGATAATTATCAGTTATGATGGTAAATAATGGTCATGGTTGTTGTTCCGTTCATCTTTATGATGATGATCATCATTTCACAATCTTCAGAGAGAGAGAGAGAGA